GTTCATCATGACTGCCATCAACTGTGGTTCACCTACTTGGCAGCCATCAACTGTGGTTCACATCCTTGGCTGCCATCAACTGTGGTTCACATCCTTGGCTGCCATCAACTGTGGTTCACATCTTTGACTGCCATCAACTGTGGTTCACATCCTTGACTGCCATCAACTGTGGTTCACATACCTGGCTGCCATTAACTGTGGTTCACCTCTTCGGCAGCCATCAACTGTGGATCACATCCTTGACTGCCATCAACTGTGGTTCACCTCCTTGACTGCCATCAAATGTGGTTCACATCCTTGACTGCCATCAACTGTGGTTCACATCCTTGACTGCCATCAACTGTGATTCACATCCTTGACTGCCATCAACTGTGGATCACATCCTTGACTGCCATCAACTGTGGTTTACATCCTTGGCTGCCATCAACAACTGTGGTTCACATCCTTGACTGCCATCAACTGTGGATCACATCCTTGACTGCCATCAACTGTGGTTCACATACCTGGCAGCCATCAACTGTGGTTCACCTACCTGGCCGCCATTATCAACTGTGGTTCACATCCTTGACTGCCATCAACTGTGGTTCACATACCTGGCCGCCATCATCAACTGTGGTTCACCTCCTTGGCAATCATCAACTGTGGTTCACATCCTTGACTGCCATCAACTGTGGTTCACATCCTTGACTGCCATCAACTGTGGTTCACATCCTTGACTGCCATCAACTGTGGTTCACATACCTGGCTGCCATCAACTGTGGTTCACATACCTGGCTGCTGCATCAACTGTGGTTCACATACCTGGCTGCTGCATCAACTGTGGTTCACATACCAGGCTGCCATCAACTGTGGTTCACATCCTTGACTGCCATCAACTGTGGTTCACATCCTTGACTGCCATCAACTGTGGTTCACATCCTTGACTGCCATCAAATGTGGTTCACCTTCTTGGCAGCCATCACCTGTGGTTCACATCCTTGGCTGCCATCACCTGTGGTTCACATCCTTGACAGCCATCAACTGTGATTCACATCTTTGACTGCATCAACTGTGGTTCACATCCTTGACTGCCATTAACTGTGGTCACTCCTTGACTGCCATTAACTGTGGTTCACCTCCTTGACTGCAATTAACTGTGGTTTCACATCCTTGGCTGCCATCAACTGTGGTTTACATCCTTTGATTGCCATCAACTGTGGTTCACATCCTTGGCTGCCATCAACTGTGGTTCACATACCTGGCCGCCATTATCAATTGTGGTTCACATCCTTGACTGCCATTAACTGTGGTTCACCTCCTTGACTGCCATCAACTGTGGTTCACCTCGTTGACTGCAATTAACTGTGGTTCACATCCTTGGCTGCCATCAACTGTGGTTCACATCCTTGGCAGCCATCAATTGTGGATCGAATCCTTGATTGCCATCAACTGTGATATACATCCTTGACTGCAATTAACTGTGGTTCACATCCTTGGCTGCCATCAACTGTGGTTCACATACCTGGCCGCCATTATCAATTGTGGTACACATCCTTGACTGCCATCAACTGTGGTTCACATCCTTGACTGCCATCAACCATGGTTCACATCCTTGACTGCCATCAACAATGGTTCACATCCCTGGCTGCCATCAACTGTGGTTCACATACCTGGCCGCCATTATCAATTGTGGTACACATCCTTGACTGCCATTAACTGTGCTTCACATACCTGGCCGCCATTATCAATTGTGGTTCACATCCTTCACTGCCATCAACTGTGGTTGACCTCCTTGACTGCCATTAACTGTGGTTCATCTCCTTGACTGCCATCAACTATGGTTCACACCCCTGGTTGCCATCATCAACTGTGGCTCACATCCTTGGCTGCCAGGCTGCCATCAACTGTGGTTCACATACCTGGCCACCATTATCAATTGTGGTTAACATCTTCGACTGCCATTAACTGTGGTTCACCTTCTCGACTGCCATCAGCTGTGGTTCACATCTTTGACTGCAATTAACTGTGGTTCACACCCCTGGTTGCCATCATCAACTGTGGATCACATCCTTGATTGCCATCAATTGTGGTTCACATCCTTGGCTGCCATCAACTGTGGTTCACATCCTTGACTGCTATCAACCGTGGATCACATCCTTGACTGCCATCAACTGTGGTTCACATCCTTGGCTGCCATCAACAACTGTGGTTCACATCCTTGACTGCCATCAACTGTGATTCACATCATTGACTGCCAGCAACTGTGGTTCACATCCTTGGCCGTTATCATCAACTGTGTTTCATATCTTCGACTGTCATCAACTGTGATTCACATCATTGACTGCCATCAACTGTGGTTCACATCCTTGGCCGTTATCATCAACTGTGTTTCACATCTTCGACTGTCATCAATCGTGGATCACATCCTTGACTGCCATCAACTGTGGTTCACATACCTGGCTGCCATCAACTGTGGTTCACATCCTTGGCTGCCATCAACTGTGGTTCACATACATGGCCGCCATCATCAACTGTGGTTCATATCCTTGACTGCCATCAACTGTGTTTCACATCCTTGATTGCCATCAACTGTGGTTCACCTCCTTGGTAGCCATCAACTGTGGTTCACATCCTTGACTGCCATCAACTGTGTTTCACATCCTTGATTGCCATCAACTGTAGTTCACCTCCTTGGTAGTCATTAACTGTGGTTCACATCCTTGACTGCCATCAACTGTTATTCACATCCCTGGCTGCCATCAACTGTGGTTCACGTCCCTGGCTGCCATCATCAACCGTGGTTAACATTCTTGACTGACATCAACTGTGGTTCACGTCC